TGGCTTAAAAAATTTTGTATAATGATTGTGATTTTCTCTTTGTTCTTTTAATAATGTTATTAAGCGGATCAGACGTTATGAAAGAATTTACTATGTTTTAAATTTGTTTAATCATTTAATCTGGAGATGCATAAAAAAATGCTTCTTGATAGGTATATAATGTATGCCCAATATATATATTCATATATATATATATATATATACGCATATATATATATATATATATAAAAGGTAACCAAAAAAGTTCTGTCCGTTTTTTTGATTAGTCATTGAATGAATTTGAAATATATACGAAATGCGTGTAGCATTTGTTTTCAAATTCAGACAGCCGGAAGTAGGAACATCAGACGTTATAAAAAAACACGCGCACCGTGCCCGGCCGTCAGTTAAAAGCCACACAGCTGCAAGAAGGACAGAAGTGTCTAGAGATCTTGTTCGGGGCTGTTTGCGTTACGACTTCAAAGTGGGCTTATCAGCAGCTGCATCTAGTCGCCGCATATATCAAGCGTTTGGGGATAGTGCTGTGGATGAACGTACTGCAAGGCGTTGGTTTCGAAAAATTCAAGTCGGGAGATTTGTCTCTCCATGATGAGCCTCGCAGTGGACGACCACAGGTCTTGAATGACGGAGTCCTGAAGGCGGCCATTGAAGAGGACAGTAGTCTAACGTGTGGTGAACTTTCCGACAGTTCAACGTTTCCGATGACACAGTTAGAATTCACCTGCACCGCCTAGGTAAGACGTAAAAACTGAGCAAGTGGTTTCCGCAAACGCAGTTGGAGGTCCACAAGGGACAACGAGTGGCAGCGTGCGTATCGCTGCTTTCTCGCCACCGTACCGCATCCTTATTCAATCGAGTGCTTACCAGTGATGAAAAGTGGGTTTTGTACGAAACTCCCAAGCGTCCCAGACATTGGATGTCTCCTCGGGATGCTGTCCCTCACACCGCAAGACCGCCTATACACCCACGTAATATTATGCTTTGTGTCTGGTGGACAGGTCGTCAAGTGGTTCATTATGAACTGCTACCAACGGGCCAAAGGATCACTGGAGACCTATACGCGTAGCAATTGAAACGTGTGCAACAGGCATTGCGCCAGAAGGATCCAGCACTGGTGAATCGCAAAGGTGTGCTTTTCCTCCATGACAACGCCAGGCCGCATATCGCGCGAGTGGTCAGGGATACCATACAGCAACTTGGGTGGGAGACTTTGTGCCATCCACCTTATTCACCTGACCTTGCGCCATCCGATTACCACCTCTTCCACTCCCTGGATAATCATCTTCGTGGGAAATCCTTCACAAATGAAGCAGACTTGTGCAAAGCCCTCACTGACTTCTTTTGCGTCAAAACCCCCGAGTTTTACCGCAAGGGCATTGAACAGCTGGAGACATGTTGGCAGAAGGTGCTGGATGCCGATGGCGATGACTTCGAAGACGAAATATAAGTTACACATACTGTGAAGCGTTTTCTTTTTTTCCTTTAAAAACGGACAGAACTTTTTGGGTTACCTTGTGTATATATATATATATATATGTGTGTGTGTGTGTGTGTGCTTGCATCTATGTATGTATCTATGTATATTTGTGTAGCAACATTTCTTTTAAAAAAGGTTTCCCTAAATATGAAAAACAATGATATTTCTAACAATTTTTAATTTAGTTTTTCCATCATTATTACATATTTTTCTATTGGTGGGATAAAAATAATACATTTACAATTCTGGAACTCCCAAATTCTGTACCTTTTCTCATTTCGCTTAAACGGAGTCACTTTTAAATCTCAATATCTAAGGTACCCCAAATGAAAGGACAAGGACTGACTGAGCAGTTTTCATAATAATCTAATGTGCGAAAAGTATTTTAAATATTTCTTTGGTGGCCAAATTTCCTTCGAATGAGCACGCGGAGAAATATCTTCTTTTTTTTTCACATTGTCACTAATTTGTAAACTCAGATTTCAATCTATGACTATATTAAGTTATTTTTATTATTTCTTTTTTTATTTGGGGCGTTTTTTAAGTAATCTAATCTCGGTCGAGTTTCCTTCTGTTAATAAGTCTGAAGACATGGCATCACAATTTCGCGCTTTTTTTTAATGCATGTGCAAAGTGACACATTGCCTAAAGAATTGTATTCCCAATGTAACAAAGAAAACATCATTTAATTCATTCATTTATTTTGTTCAGTAAATTTACAAATACATTTTGGTTTTGTCACATAATAAAAACATGTCAGACAAACAACACACATATATATATATATATACTGTTAATGCGTTATTTTTATAGATACAGTTATTTATGTAAATGCTTTGTTTATAATAAAAGAGTATTAACTATCCACCGGCCTGAATGTCGTAGAAAATATGTCCTCCGATAGGAATCGAACCTGTATCTTACACATTCTATATTCGTTTTATTTGACGTGCTATGCCATTTAGCTACAGAGGAATCATCTGATTAGCCAAGTCAAAATTACTGTTTTAAAAGAAAAAAAATTCCCACGATCTTTCTCGAACAATCATGTCGGCTCGAAGCGTCTCTTAACGTAAACAAATGACAATAAATATTATGAAATGGAATAAGTGAGACAATTATTTTAACATATTTTCTTATTATAGGTTATTTTTTTTATATCTAAGTAAATGCTCAGTTTATAATAAACAGTATTAACAACATTTACATTAACTACGAAATTTCTCCAACATTCTGGCCAGTAAATGTAATTAATACTGTTTATGATAAATACGGCATTTATTAAATAATTGTATCTAAAAAAGAACGTATAAACAGCAAATATATTAAAATAATTGTTTGACATATTCTATTTCAAACAACATTTACACACATATATATATATATATACATATATATATATATATATATATATATATATATATATATATATATATATATATATATATATATATATATATATATACACCTACCAAGTATAGGATTGGTGTATACGGAATAAATTACAATAACCAAAAAATACTATTCTTAAAAGAGTATTCAATACAGAGTAAATATAATTATTTATTCGAAAATTATAACATAAATATTTAATAAAAATTTTGTTTCAACACTTCTGGTGTCTTATCAAGTGATAGTGTTGAATGTAGAACCTATATATATATATATAATATATATATATATATATATATATATATATATATATAATTTTCTTCACCATATCTCTGCCTATTTGTTTTATTTTTATTTTTATCTCCTTTCCCCCTCAGTCAGACCGTTTTTCACTTTTTTTCATGCATTAATAATAATAATAATGATTCCTCAAAGTCATTCAGACAATTACGTCTGTTAAGAAATGGTGTAAATGTCACAGACATAACATGAAAGAAATCCCAATAAAATTAATTATAATTGATATTGCTTCTTATAAGAAATTTCAAGTTTAAACTATTACGATTCGTTATAAACTTACATAAATGAGGGTTACTTCCCAAAATACCTATATATATATATATATATATATATATATATATATATATATATATATATATATATATATATATATATATGTATCCCGTTCGTCGGTTGACCAATATGAAAGAAAGTGTTATTTGACGGTTTTGCTGCTTTCTCTTAGCCTAGGAGTAAGTGTCTCCGACTGATGCTAAATCGGTCAAGTTTTGATCGCGGCTTAAAGCAACCGCTTGTCTAGCCACACTGAAGATCTGTGATACAGCGAGACTGTCTTTCTGTGAATGACTATATATATATATATATATATATATATATATATCAGTTAATATTTTCAAATAGATTTATCAAACAACGACGCAAGAAGTGTTAGTTGGCTAGCCAGATAATTCTTTGATTCATTTTCTTGATTTTTGTCCTACACACACACACACACACACACACACACACACACACACACACACACACCAAACACACACACACACACACACACACACACACACACACACATACATATATATATATATATATATATATATATATATATATATATATATACTAATTTTCAAAGGCCCGGCGTTGCCCGTGCTTGATTCAAAAATCGTACGACTCATACAGCAATCGCTATCACTTGACTTAAAATATTTTTGCCCTTCCTTGCCTTTAAAGGAGTGCCCTTTGCCGTGCTGATCTTGCTACATGCCTTACTTCTTGCCTATCTCACACTGCCAATTTTTTCTAAGCTCTATACTAAACATTAAATCTGTTACGAAAAAAGAACTAAACAGAATAAACACAAAACGATCAGCTTTAAAAAAGGACACGTAACTGGAAAAACCGAAAGAAAAAAGAATGTTAACAACAAATACTTTTTCACACCCAACCCAGTTCTGCGGAATCAGAATCAACGTTGAGTTTAAGCAAGCGAATGAGCCAATTGGAGTAAATTGCCATGCAGATTTAAATTTTTCCCACTTGTGACGAATGCACTTATCGATTTTTTTTGCATGCTAGTTAACATACGTGTCAGTCAGCTGTTGGCTCTCACGCTGGTCAATAGAATCTTCCTGGCTATTCGTGGCAGCCAGCTAAAGATTTTTACTCTGGCTCTCACTCTGGCCAGTACAAAATGGCCGTAAACTACATGAAATCTGCCCTAGAAACATGAAAAAATCGATTATTTCCACTATCGATGGGAGTTGGGAAATGAAAAGTCAGTCTTGGCGTTTCCGCTAACTTGGAGCATGTGCATGTAAATTTTGGTGCAAACCCATCGAAAATTGCGACCGTCGTTACACACACACACATACATCCTGCCTTTTATAGATAGAGATATATATTTTAAGACATTTTTCAATTT